TTCGCACTATAGTAAATTTATATAGTAATCTGAGTCACATTTTACTATGATCATTCTTCAGTTGACTGGAGGATCATTAATTAAAATGAAATTTTTATATTTTTTTAGAAAAATTTAAAATTTTTTGATGATATTTTTTTAGGGTTAGTGTTAGGGTTAGAGTTTAGAGTTAGTTTTATTAATAAAAGAGTATAAGTGGGTTTTATAAGCTTTAAAGATGAGCAAAAAAGTTATTAGTTTTTTTTTAATTCAATTTCATTATAATCTGTGACAATCATTAATAATCTCAAGATTATGTAATCAGATTTGTCTAATTTTAGATTAATTGGAATTATCTTTATAAGAGAATTATTTTGGTAGTTAAATTATCCAAATTGGATCAATAGATTAAAAGTTATTAATTTTTAAAAATTTTATTATTTTAGAGATAATTTATACACTATATATATGATATTGCCACATTTCTGCAGATCATAAAATTAGGTGTAATGTGAAATCAAAACAACCTGATTTTTTGTTAGTTAAGATTAAAATAAGGTAAAGTAAGTATTAGAGTTAGTATTAAGGTTAGGGTAAGAGTTTTTTATAATAAAATTTTGTGAAAATAAGTTATGATTTTTGACAAAATGAATATTTTTTTTGAATTTTTCTAATTGTACTATATTACACCTGATCTTAAAATTTGATTGGTAATTATGTGAGAGGTGATAAATTAGTGACATTGTGAGGTGTGATGAATAAATATACACTATTTTTTATTAATAAAATTTTTAATAATTTTAATTTTTCTCTAATTGCAGGTTTTCTTTAAATGCAGGTCAAAGTACTGGTCCCAACAACATGCACTTAGAGAGAGTCGACTGTATTCTGCATCAATCATAATTATTTAGACCATAATAACTTTATAAGTTTTTATTTATATATTTTGCTGATATATTTATCTTCTACATATTTTATCCTGTTAAAAAATTGTACAAAAATAAAAAATATATATAGTTAGTTTACTGTATTTAATATTATTATACTGTATATGTATATTCACTTTAAAGCTTTTAAAAATCTTTTTTATGTGTATAAAAAATTATATAACCTAATACTCAAACTAGTGCTTGGCAAAATCAAACTTTTTTTTGCCACTCAAATACATGCAATGGGCTGGTTTTTAAATCAATACAGCAACATAGTATTAATGTATTATCGCATTACCATATTGCTGTATTGATTTAAAAGCCAGATCATTACATGTAATTGAGTTTGATTTTGCCAAGCACTAACTAGGAATATTAATGGGGTGAGATACTCTGGAGTGACTGTGGAGTATAACCCACTCCATACTGGTGTGGTTTAAGCATAATACCACCTCAGATTATTAAGAAACTATTAATAGGAGTAAATACTCCGGAGTAATGCTATTAAAATAAAGTGGTTTATACTCTGGAGTATTATTAAAATGCCATTAAAAGCATTTTGATTGGCTCACTTATACAAGCATATAAACAAAAACATATAAGAGGAAACCGGGTTTTGGGCTTTTGAGATTGTAATTTAACGGATTCAGCCCCTGAAAGGTCTTACAATTAATACAATAATCTAATTTTTCAGGAGCTGAGTCCGTTAAATCATAAACTCAAAAACCCAAAGCCCGGTATCTCTTAGTAGTACTTATATGTGAATATTTGAAGATTGCATCGACTATTAATTAGGCTATATTTATTGATTAAGATAATGTTTCTTCTCATTCAACTTCTTTTCGTTCATTAATTTATAGACTACTGCACATCCATATGCAAGAATGCCAGTATAATATATTTTCTTATCGTTTACAGTAAATTTTAACAGTACTTCAGCACTCCGGGATATACTCCGGATTATACTCTGGGTTACACTCCGAAGTATACTATGAAAGAATACTCCAGTGTGGCGTGGTGTTAAGGAATACTTTGCCAGAGTATGCACCACACCACCCTGGAGCACTCCATTAACATCCCTTGCACTAACTCAAACCTAAATTATCTTTGCTAAATTATTGTTTTAAACTTTTTTTTTGGGTTTTATCACTGGAGTAGATCTATATAAAAGTTGTGGGATTTACTAAGATTTAACTAATATATTTAAACTACTGTATGAAAGCTTCAAGTGTTACTCTACGCTTCAAAGCAGAGAGCACTTTGGAAAATGTACTTAAAACAATATAAAAAAAATTTATATAAATTGTGTAACAAATCTGCAAATAATGTGATGGGACGGTTCCCCCTGTTAATTAATCTAGGCCAAATGATCGACGTTGCGGGCAAATAACAATCCAATTAGAGTTGATCATGTACTACAGTATTCAAGGACCGAGCGTATATAACCAAATTTTCTCCTCCTGTAACTGTTATAGCTTACTAATTCCCTAATAGATATCTATCCTACAGTGAGAAACGAAAAATGGATAGTGTTAATGTTGAGGACATATATAGGGCTTATGAAGTAATCGATCGAGCGAGTGATTATGGCGAGGTAAGTAATTTACACTTGAAAGAGCCACCATTCTTGTAGGCTAACAAACCATATACATTTAAGGAGGTTAAGAAATCATACAGAACAATAATTAATGGAGCACACGGAGAAAGTAATTGTAAGCGTCTTGCCGCACAATTCATCCCACGATTTTTCGGAAAATTCCCTGAATTTCACGAGACAGCCATCGATGCTCTGTTTGATCTCTGCGAAGATACAGACTTGAATGTACGCACCTTATGATTAGCACCCCTTTTTGGCTTTGATTTAACAGACGACTGATCGAATTTCTATGTACGATTTGTTGACTTGCCAAAAGGTGCGATTAACTGTTATAAAATATTTACCAAATGTCGTCAGAGAATCTGACAAAGTTGCGGTGCGGATTGCTGATGCTCTGGTACAGTTACTTCAAAATGGTAAGAATAAACTCATTATAGCTTGCCTATGATATACGTCCCAAAATTAATACCTATCATTATAAAAGAGACAGCTCAAGAAATTGCCGCCGTGAGAAAAGCTCTCGAACAAGTTATTCGGTTATCACCACGTGATTCTATTGTTGCGATCTTCCAGCAATCGTTAAAGGGTTCACCCGAAGTACGGAATCGGACAATTAATTTTTTGTCGAATGATTTGAATCGCTTCAAAGAAGAGTTATTCGAGAAAGGGGAGGATGTTGAAGCATGTTTTGCCAATGAAGTGAAAAGAGTACATATTTTTTGTTATGTATTTTAATGAATGAATCATAAAGTTTTACTTCGTTTTACTCACGAACTTGGTTTACAGGCACTTCATGATGCTAGTATTTCAGAATTTGAGATATTTATTAAAATGCTTCTACCGCTTAAGATATATCGACTTGAGAATAAAGATAATTTAAAAGAATTGGTTAATGTATTAATCAACTCGATCGTTACAGGAGACGAAAAATTTGATGTATGGATTTTTTTCATTTATTCTTATATGAAAGAAATAAGGTGACAAAGGGTTAACACGCTTTTCTTTCGTAGCCTACAGACCATACCAAAATACAAAAGCTTTTTTTGTGTGGGAAAACTCTTATACAATATTTCGAGGTAAAAAAGTAATGTTATAAATTCGTGAAAGCACAAAATTTTCTAATTGAATTTAAAATAATGGGATAGAAAGGTGTAAAAAGCACACCATTCCTTGCCTTCCTTGTGGACAAAATCCTACCCAAGGAGATATATTCTAGATTACAGGAACGACACCAGAAAATGATTCTAAGATTTCTAGCAGAATGTATTAGTGGAAAACACAATGAAGCGACGATCAAAAACGCTGCTCCATTAGTAAAAGAGTTATTTATTGTATGTATTACTATGCTTTTACGAAAAATTCAAAATCCTGAGAGCTTATTTCATCATATGATTATATGTAGAATGAAATACCACCCCCTGGAGAAGATACTGAAATAGAGCCAAAACTTGATTTACCGAGAGTCGAATATATTGTTTTTGCTTTATATTGCATTGCTTCTAAGGTATACAATTATATGTGATGATTGCCATTTTGATATATAAATACTGCTTAAGACAATTTATATTTAATTAACAAATTTAGATTCCAGAAATAGTTGAAGGACAGGAAATGATTTCACGGTTTGTTATCTTGAAATTTAATATACACACAATTGGTCGAAAATTTGTCATACGACGGAGCTTACTACTTTTTCAGGTTCCGGAACCTTTACGCCGTTGCTATAAAATGCATTTCACGTATTAAACAAGGATTGAAGGATTTACAAAAGCGTGGGTCAAAGGATCAAGAGACAATGGAGGTTGATATCACGACTTATCAATAAATCGGTGTAGATCGTTTTTTAAAATTTATATTAATTATGGTTCAATTTTTAATATTCAAGAAAATCAAGAAGGCGGAAAGTGGCCAAATAGTAACAAATAATATATTAAGCATGATAAAGGTAAACAAGATAAATCGTAAGTTGACCTTACAACTAATTATTAATATATTCTTTTTCTGCACCAGGAATTAATGAAGCCCGTAAAAGCTAGGCATTTCACAAAAATCGTGCATTCTTGGAGTACATCCAATGTGTGAAATTCAAATTTTAATTTATGTTCTCAAATGAACATTAAATTATTTTTACTGTTCTCAAAAAAAAAATATTGTTCTCAATAGAGAACATTTTTTTTATAATAGTGTTCTTAATTTTTTAAAAATTGTTCTCAAATTATATATTAAAACATAGAACGTAAATTACATTATATGTTTTAATATATAATAATTTGAAACCGAAACTTGACCAGAGCACAATATCTATTGTAAAATACTGAGGGTTCTGGTTAGGGCTATTAAGTGGTCCGACTCAAACCGATGGACTGCCGGTCCTGTCTTTTTTGGGACGGACCGAAAGGACCGTTGGTCTAATATCAGTTATATATATTAAATTATTGTTATAGGTAATTATATAAATAAAATATAATCTGATTCTGCGATATTTGATCTGATATTAATTTAGATCATGCACATAAATAAAATATCTAATTATTATAGTCGTGAGAAAACGTTTTACGTATTTAGTTGATATAAAGTCATATGCTAAGCAGCGAATACTTAATTACATGTTTGGTGCTTACATATAACTGTGGAAAAACCAAATTTCTTTAGCATAACAAGTGCATGCATAATTAAACCAATATGTATAGAATACTCCAACCTCATATTGTGACTTTTTCAATCATGATACTAATTTAGTTGGATGTTTAATTAACCAAAAAATAAAAGTCTTAAATTAAATCGTTACAATAAAGTATTAATATGTTTGTAAGTTATTTGAGAAAAGATAATCGTTACTATATATATATCATATATATATTTCTCTATTAGGTTAATTTTTAGAGGTTTAAACACTGAAATAGGGGTTTCTCTTATTTAATCTCTACTTTATCTGTTATTATAATAATTGTTTTTTTTAACAAGAGTAAGATATACAAATTTGATATATTTAATTTGAATTCTTTTCTAGATATACTTACATTACAAGTTTCATTAAAAATATGCCTATAAAAATTATGTATATTATTCTCAAAACTCGTGTATTTCATCTCTAATAATAATAGGCAGATTTAAATATTCAGTTAGAGGTATCTTTTATTTAATAAACAGTAATAAACTAATAATTTGAATGTAGAATACGTATAACAATAACAGGTAATAATACAATATATTGATGCAATTTATATAGAATTTAATTAGTCCAATAATCGGTCCGTCCAGTCTCATACTGATCGGTCCTAAGACTGCAGTCCGGTCCATCTTTTTAAAAGATCGTCGGTCTTTGGACCAAGACGGTGTTATACCCGGAATAGGCTCAAGCATCGATCTACTTGTCCGGATAGATTTCACTGGGTTTCTCCTTTTATGGTCAAACTGAGTTTCTAAAGTCTTTCGGCTTTATTTCTTAAAATGTCGTTCCTAGATCAATGTATGATCAGCGTATTGCGAATATAAAAATTTGATTGTCACTGTCGATCTCGATGAGTCATTTTGTTTCGGGTTTCTTATTTTGATAAGAAATTGTTTCTGACTGTTTCTTATCATTCTAGCGGTTCTATATGTAAAGTTTCGGTTCAGGAGTTTACTCCAAATATAAGGTCGAATTTTTAGTCCGGCTAAAGTTGGTTTCTTTACTGATGCAGCCACGTGGGCCCTATCTTGTGGTCCGAAGATTACAAGATATTTTGTTTTGTAGTGATCGTTAATAACTTTATTAGCTCTTCGAATTCGATCCTTAGTTTCTTGTAGTTTCTTTTGGAGCTTGTCTACGTAGTTTTCCATCTGTAGAATCTCATGTCTAGTGACATATTCAGATATTTTGTTGCTTGATTCGAAATCTCGATTTGTCATCCTATCGAGAGATTTCTTATAATTTTTTTCATCGTCTAGCAATTCAATTTCGTCATATGGTTGTTTTTCGGGGTTTCCTTCATATAATGCTTCTTCTTCATAATAAGCATTAATTTCTCTGAATATTAATTCTAAATTTTGTGCAAACATAGGGATTAGTTGTAATATCATCATTTCTTCGAATGTATACCATTGCCATTCTGAGGCTTTGGTAGGTTCCATTCGTTGAGGTTCCATCTAGTCATCCACTGGATATATAAAAACGGTTCGTTTGATTTTATATTTTGCTTCAAGTATCAGACAGTTCTTTTGTGATGTCCATTCTAATCCACTTAGAGCAGTTTCTTCCCAAATGTTTATTAATTTCTCCCTTTGCAGTTCCAAGTTGGTTTCTTCGAGGCATTCTCTGAAAAATGCTTCTTTAGCTGTTTCGCATGGGTTACCATGAATATTTAGGTTTTCTTTTCCTCCTGGTCCTTGGAAATGTTGCCAGTAGGGTCTTTCTGGATCAATTCTTTCTGATAGGGATATGTATAGTTTACCATTTATTTTCTTAAATAATATTCCTTGTACTAATCTTCTTGTAGAAAGATCAATATTTGAAATTCTCTGTGTTATTATATAAAATTGGTTTCTACAGTTGTTACAATGGTCAAAGAATATTGTTTTGTTTCCATCGAATTCTTTAAAGAGGTAGTATGGATATAGGATGTTGCATCCTGAGCATCTCTGTGTCCAGTTGTTTCCTAGTAAATTCATGATTTAGTTATTTTTGCAATTATTTGTTTCTCGATATCCTTTCCCAATTCTTCAAATAATTCCCTATAGGTTTCTAATTTAATTCGTTGTTCGGTTTCAGTTTCAGCTTTAAGATAATTATTGATATTAGTCAGGTTTCGGTAGATATTAATTCATTGTTCCAAGAGTTCAACCAGTTTTTTTGGTTCTGTCATTAAAATGGTTGGTATTGTCCTGTGAGTAAAAGGTCAACAGTAGATATCCTGGTTTCGTATCCTCCATAATTCAGTTTGCTTCCTGTTGATGAGATTTCTACTATTTTTCTTAATATGTTCAGGTATCTTGTTTGAACTTGTATTTTCTGACGTATTGTCTCGTTTTTGTATAATATAGTTTCTTGTAAATTTCGTATTCTTTCAATCTCTTGGATTTCAGAATGTATCTCGTGGTTATGTGCCAACCACTTCTTATATCATAGACTTTTGTAGGCATTTAAAATTTCTAATTCTTGACTTAATTCGGTTTTAAATTCATGTGCTATTTTAGGTAATTCGTATTTTTCCAATATTAATAGAAGGTGTTAAAATCCTGATTTCAATTCTTCAAATATCAAGAGGGTTTCATAATGAGTTTTCTTGTCTTGCCAATCGAGATATATTTTCTGTAGTTTCTGTTTCTTGAGATAAATAAATTTTTCTATTAAGTATCTTAATACAATATAGTAACTATTTTGTTGTTTAATTAGTTTTATTAGTTTCTTTGATTTCTTCTAACTTGATCTTAAAGATCTCTTCAAGAGCTTCTAGTTTCAATTCAATTTCTTGAATTGTAGTTTCTTTATTTTCTTCTATAAAGGTTTGTATTTTATTTTTATAAAAATCAGATGCTATATTCTGAGTTACTGATGTCTTATTTTTCTTGAATCTTTCTTTTTGAAGTTCCTCCTCAAGTTCCAACAATTCAATTAAAAATAAGAAATGCAGGCTAGTATACGATCTTCCTCCTTTATGTAGCGGTGGGTATACTTTTTCCTGGTATATTTTAATTATTTCGGTTAATAATCCGTATTCTGATGGATTCTATTTTATTTTTACTATTCCAGAATCTGGTAATTGGAAGTTTCTTTCTCTCGATAGCCACTTGACTCTTCTTCGTAGTTCTTGTGTTACTTTACTTTTCTCATAGTGTTTAAATTTGTCTTTTTGATATATTCATTTCAAGGATTTAAATAGAAGTTCGAGTTTATATTGTTCCTTCATTTCAATACGTTTCCTTTTAGTTTTTGTAAATTTTAAATTTTCCATTAAAATATCTTTTCGAAATATTTTAATTCTTTTTCTTTGTCCTTGACTGTTTCGGCTCCTTCTTCTATTAGCAAATCTTCTGCTATAAATATAAGGTTGTATAATATGTTTTTTAAGGGGTCTGGTACGTCGTGTTTCAAGTTTACATCCCGTATTTGTTCAAATTGTCAGACAGTTGCTGTTAAAGTTTCTGTATATCTTTTTCGTTTCTGAAAATTTGCAGGTATTTGTGAATTGAATATAACAAGAGCTTTAGTAAATTGTAGCGATTGTAATAGATTTCCTATTGTTGGGTTACTTGTAGGATTATAGTGGAATATTAAATTTGATAATATTACATCTATATCAAATAATATTTCGTTGGTAGATCTTTGAAATAGTATTTTTTGGTTAGGGTCAATTTCTTTTAAAAGGGTATTTCTAAGTACTGGTTGGAGGTTCTAGATATAATTAAATCTGGGGTTTTCTAAAGATCTTCCTATCCGTTTTGGATAATTATTCTGAGGTGCAAAAGTATGTTTCCCTTGTGGTTTCTTTTTGTAAAAATAAATTGTTGCTGTAAATTTAATAATTTCTAAAAAGTTTAGTTTTGGAAATTTCTGCCCCGTGTTTTGAAGGTTTACTAAGTCTCTTAGTTATTATAGTTTCGTGGTACTATTCTATCCAATATTTCATTTATTCCCTGAATTTGCAATGTAATGTTTTCTACAAAGCAAAATGGGTAGGTTCTGTCTGTTACGTAATCTAGAGTTTGTAATAGTGCTAATATTCCAGTATTTAGGTTTGTTCTCCTTATTGCTGCTAAATCCAATAAAGCTGATTCGAATAGGTATAACAAATTTATATTTGTTCTGATTCGTTTTAAGGCTTCTATTGCAGTATTTTCTTGTGC